GGTGCGGTGAGGTCCGGGGCCCCCCCGGACCTCTCATTACATTCAATGCTGGTTTTTTTAGTTTCCCATGATCAGAGACAGCATTTTAATAATATAAGAAGAGAAAATTATTTTTACCATGTGGGAACTGGCCGACCCCTCACAGTGTTCAAGAGAGAACTGGATAAGCACCTCCAAAGGATACCTGATCAACCAGGCTGTGACTCGTACGTCAGGCTGCGAGCAGCCGCGTCCAACAGCCAGGTTGATCAGTCCGGCAATCAGGAGGCCTGGTCGACGACCGGGCCGCGGGGACGCTAAGCCCCGGAAGCACCTCAAGGTAACCTCAAGGTAACCCCCCCCTCTGGGTTGGGGAGGGCTGGGTGGATGACTGGCGCGGCAGTAAATTGTGATAATTGCTTGTTTCCTTGGGATTGTCGGGAGTTTCTACCGATGTTCGTTTTTTTGTTTTAGTTTCTTACCATGTGGGGTTTGTTTTGTTATGCCAACCTTTCTGGGTGCCTGACCCCGATCGATGGCAGATACAGAAAACCACCAACCACAATGGGGCTTTCCAGGGCCATTGCTCCCTGAAACCTCACTGAAGGGGCCAGGTTCTGGCACTGGTCCCTGGTAGGTCTGAACTCCTTAGCTAATGTCCTGGTCTAATATAACATACATTAGCCCAATAAGCTCCAGGGAGCCTCCGGGGCTCACCCAGAAAATGGCGTTTCATTACATTCAATGCTGGTTTTTTAGTTTCCCATGATCAGAGACAGCATTTTAACAATATAAGAAGAGAAAATTATTTTTTGGAAAGAATTTATTTTCGGCACACCACGAGGGTGTCATATTTTAACCCCTGGGCGGCTCTTGTGATTATAGCTTACAGCACACCCAGGTGCAAGAAATAAAGAAAAGAAAAAATATTTTGTCTTATAAAAGTGTTTATTTGTGTTCCTTGACCATAGGAAAAATAATAAAAAAAATCGTAGGTGACATATTTTGGCTTCAATAGGGCGAGGAATGCTGGAAAAATTGAGGCGTTGGCAGAGCAATCGTCAGAGGCGGAGGCGGTCAGCTCCGCCCGAGCTGTCAAGCGGGAATTGCCAGAGAGATATTATTACCTAGTTATTTCAGTGTCTCTGATTGATTTTTTCTTAGTTTAGTGTAGTAATATTATTCAATAGTGTATAGTATGATATATTTATATAATAAAATGTGTGAACCATCGCTGTACTCAAAAGTATTGTGTGCATATTAGTGATGCAAGTATTATGTTCATAAAACAATAAACAAATAGTTTGGCTGTTATTACCCTATATACACAGGTTATATATACACTAAGTATCTGCATCTGCATGTTTTATTCACTGTAGTGAACCACCAAGTTGGTTATCTTGAGGTTATCTCGAGATGATTTCGGGGCTTTTTAGTGTCCCCGCGGCCTGGTTCTCGACCAGGTCTCCACCCCCAGGAAGCAGCCCGTGACAGCTGACTAACACCCAGGTACCTATTTTACTGCTAGGTAACAGGGGCATAGGATGAAAGAAACTCTGCCCATTGTTTCTCGCCGGCGCCTGGGATCGAACCCAGGACCACAAGTCCAGCGTGCTGTCCGCTCGGCCGACCGGCTCCCTCAAATTTTTTGGTGGTGGTATGGTGAGTCCAAACATCAAGAGTAGGCTGTCACACCCAGCCAGCCCTTCCTCACTCCTTCAACACCTAACTCGCCAACATTCCTCCTCCCATAATACTGTTTGTGGTTTTATTACACTATATAGACATGTTATATATGAGTATCTACATGTTTTGTTCACCATAACTGTACATCCAAGCTGGTATGGTGTTCAAACAACGTAGTGGCAACAAAAAACTGCATGACAAGTCACACAGCAGCCAGCAACGATACTATGAAATGACACCACCTCTCTCTCCCTCCCTCCTCCCACCATACTACGCACATCGATAATTCTCACCACAATTTTGCTATTATCAGAATCCTGGTCACTAAATCCTGTAAATGAATAATTTTCCAAATGTTTATTTTGTAAAGGAAGATGGAAAGTTGAACATTTGAAGATTCTTAGATAGACGAAATAATGCCAGTGTGCTGTGGCTAGCGCTGTAAACATCTTGAACAGCATTGATTCACTGATATCTGAACATTGTACACAGTCCTTATCACAGTCAGGCTCTCCTGTAATATTATCATGGCTAAATAATACCAGTTACATATATATTTAGATATTTTTAGGCGATGATGCGGTCACAAGCCGAACAGCAGTGCTGTTAGGTCATGCTATATGTGCCCACCTTAGTTGCTCACTCAGTACTGAGGCTCTCACACCCAGGAATGTTGCCTACGATTTTTTTTTTTAATGGCGTCTGTTTACAAGAGCCCCGAGGAAGCTGATGTGAACCCCGTGTAGCCGCAGGACTTGATTCTTGCATGGTACTCCAACACATCAATAGCTGTGGTGCGCAATTCCGTGACAGTTACACACCTCAGCTATTGATGTGTTGTGCATTTTAAGGGTTAATGCAGGGCAGTGCAGTGGTTAACCCTTAAACTGCGCAACGCGCCTGCAGGCTCACATCTGGTTTGCGCAACGCGCCTCCGGGTATTTGTATTTTTCACGATCCATTCAAAACTCCCGCGGCTACATGGGGTTCACATCAGCTTCCTCAGGGGTCTTGTAAACAGACGCCATCTTTAAAAAAAATCGTGGTCCACATTCCCGGGTGTGGGAGCCTCAGTAGTGTGAGCAACCAAGGCTGGTGCTCGCAGCATGAGCGCACAGCACTGCTGTTCAGCATGTGACCACAGCATCGCCTAATAATGTCAAAATATATATTTAACTTGTATTATTTAGCTATGATAGTGTTGTAGAAGAGCCTGAGTGTGATAATGACTGGGTACAATGTTCAAATACCAGTGATTCAATGCTGTTCACGATGTTCACAGCGCTAGCCACAGCACCACAGCATTATTTCGTACATCTAGGAATCTTCAAATGATTTCTTAGGTTCCTTTTCAAAATAAACGTGTGGTCTATTATTCATTTACAGGAATTAGTGACCAGGATTGTGATAATAGCAGGATTGTGGTTATAATTAACGTTGTGCGTAGTATTGTGGAAGGAGGAATTTTGGTGAGGGAGGGAGGGCGAGAATTGAGGTAGCCTCATTGTGTGTGTGTGGCTGCCACTCTTGTTTTGCTCACCATACTAGCTTAGTGGTTCGCTATAGGCAAAACATATGTACATGGGTATATATAGTGTGTTTATATAGTGTAAGAACAGCAACAGGAGAATGCTGAGAGGAGCTATTTTGGTGAGGGAGGTGACGTAATCGTAGCATCGTCTGCTGTGTGATTTTTCATGCAGTGTATGGTGGCCACTGTACTGTTTGGACACAATACCGGCTTACTTGCATAGTTCTGGTAAATAAAACATGTAGATAGGTACCTGTATATAGAACATATGTAATAAGAACTATAACAGTATGGTGGGAGGAGCAATGTTGGCGAGTAAGATGTTGGAGTGAGGGAGACTGGCCTGGGTGTGGCTGCTCTCACTCAAGATGTTCTGAATGCGTTAATGGCCAAATGCTCCTATTGCCCCATACGAGGCAGCTCCTATTGCCCCATACGAGGCAGCTCCTATTGGCCCATACGAGGCAGCTCCTATTGGCCCATACGCGGCAGCTGCTATTGGCCCATACGAGGCAGCTGCTATTGGCCCATATGAGGCAGCTCCCATTGGCCCATACGAGGCAGCTGCTATTGGCCCATACGAGGCAGCTGCTATTGGCCCATACGAGGCAGCTGCTATTGGCCCATACGAGGCAGCTGCTATTGGCCCATACGAGGCAGCTGCTATTGGCCCGTACGAAGCAGCTGCTACGCGATGTTCTGAATGTGTTGATGGTAAATGTATATAGTGTGTGACAGTGTATAGTGTGTAAATAGATTGTATATATACATAAATTAGCATGATACATAGTAAATATGTGCTGCATATGTGTACACAAGTGTCATGCACGTAACACAGTGTCTTCGGACAGTACGGATGTTGTACTGCCATAATATAGTGTACGTGTTCACTATACATAGGATTAGCACGTAAAAACAAATAAAATGTATTTGGAACTGTGCGAAAAAATGAACGAAAATATATTCGCGGCAACTCGCCCGCCCCACCCCGAGCGCCCCACCGGCCCCGAGAGCACACTGCTCTGGCTCACGGGGAATGATGACGTCACGCCCCAACTTACGGACCCCATAGCAACCAAAGTAAGTACAATTTCGATTTTTTTTCTACATATCCATACTGAGGGAAGGGTTTCTGACACTTTAAAAAGAAAAAAGAATTTTTTCCAGAGAATTTATTTCCTGCGCACTGCGGGGGTGTCATATTTGGAGGCAACGCAGTTAAGGGGTTAAATATGTATTTTTGGTACCAAAATGTTCTCTGATGCAGATAGTACGACTAAATGTTATGTGAATATTTCAATCATGGTAGAGAGGAAGGTTGGCCAGAAAGGGTTTGTACTTGCCAATTTGTGCTGAAGTTGTGAACTATAGTACAGTACTAGGATTATTCAGAAGATATTTCAATATACTGTATTCCTTTAACGAGGTCCTAGAACATTTTTATTTTTGTGTACCCCTTCTGAATTTATTTCTTATTAGTACTGTATTGTACAATATTTAAAAAAAAAATTACGTGGATTCGTTTATCACATGACAATCCTGCATATGGATTACAATGTAGAGCCTCCCAAAACAGGGACTAGATAGAACGACATCCCCCATGCTTTGAATCGGCTCCTATCCACAGTAGTCCATTCATGTTAGGTAATACTGTAAATTAATCGTCCAAATCTAAATATTAATGTTGAAAGTCATTATATTATTGTTATAAATTTTATTTGTAACCTTTTACTATACAATACTAGTATTACTGTATGTTAATGTTTTAAAGCCACATTTATTATTCTTTCCACAATTACCATAGACTGAAGAAAGCACAGCAGGAACTTGCAGAGCTAAAGGAATTAGCTGATAAGGATAATGTGGCAGTTAAACAAGAGAAAGAGACCAAGCAAGAAAATGATGAGTTAAAAAATGAAACAATCCAGAAAACTGAAAATGAAGCAGAAAATAAAGGTATGTATTTTTTATGTTGTGCTGATGTCTCACTTGTTAGGTGAGGAATTACCATAGATTATTTTGTACCATTTTGGGCATTCAGTCAGTACTAATCAGCATACCTTGGACTTTCAACATTGTAGACCACATTTCGGACCTAGTACGGAATCACGTGAAACAAAGATTTAAGAATAATAATATACGATAATTCTTTGTGTAAGGGGACAGGCAGCAAGTGTATATATATACATGTTAGACTTATATTGAGTACTATCATTTTGTTTTTCAGAGGGTAAAAGTGGTGAAGTTCAAAGCAGCGTTGCAGTGTCAACAGCAGAATCATCAGGACCTGAAGCTGCTGCTGCTGCTGCTCATGTGCTTTCCCTGTCTGCTAATTTCCAAGATGCTCAACTCAGCCAGCAGTTTCCTGTCCCATATTTTGCTGCTGATGGTATGTTGCCCTGGGAGTGGGTTATAAATGTATCATTTGTTTGCTATTTTTGTATGTTGTAATGTGTTACTATTTTTCTGAGAGATGTAATATTTCAATCATCCTTATTAGATTCATGTTGTTTATGTAGGGCGGAGCTACAACACGCTCTCTTAACTAGTACAGGGGTACCTCAGCTTACAAATTTAATCCGTTCCCAGAGACGGCTCGTAACCCGAAAATTCGTAAACCGAAGCGAATTTCCTCATAAGAAATAAGGGAAAATTAATTAATCCATTCCAGACTCCCCAAAAAATTATCTTCAAAGTAAATTTTATACTTAATTCACCCAAATCTTCAGTACAAAACTATGTTCAAGTTATTACTTACCCTTTATTACTTACCTTAGGGAGCCGGTTGGCGAACGGACAGCACGCAGGACTTGTGATCCTGTGGTCCTGGGTTCGATCCCAGGCGCCGGCGAGAAACAATTGGCAGAGTTTCTTTCACCCTATGCCCCTGTTACTTAGCAGTATATAGGTACCTGGGTGTTAGTCAGCTGTCACGGGCTGCTTCCTGGGGGTGGAGGCCTGGTTGAGGACTGGACCGCAGGGACACTAAAGCCCCGAAATCATCTCAAGGTAACCTCAAGATATACCCCTTGCTGATGACTACTGTTGGCATATGGAAGATGGTGAGGAGGAGGAGGGGGGGGGAGGAGGAGAGGTGTTACTGTTTGGAAGGGGAGTCCCCTTCCATTATAGCATCAGGCAGTGCTGACTTCTCTGGGGTACATACTCTGGCACGTTTTGTCTGCATACCACTAGGACCTGCTTATGGCACAGTGCTTGATTTTCTCACTAGAAATCGTTCCATTGAAGATTGTTCTTCCCTTCTTTGTAACACTTGTCTGTAATGAGACATCACATTGTCATTAATAAGATCAATGCAATGGCCTACTACAGCTTTATCTGGGTGATTCTTTTCAGCAAAACTTTGCAGTTCTTCCCATACTGCACACATTTTCTTAATTAATGAGGAATGGACATCCTCTACTGCCTCCTCCTCCTCCTCCTCCTCCTCCTCCTCCTCCTCCCTCCTCCTCCTCCTCCCCTGAAGATTTGTTGTACTGCCTAGCTAGTTCAACAACCCCTGTACCCTTTTCATGTTTATGAATGATCTCTTGTTTTTCTTCTATGGTCATTCTCTCATGTGTTTTCTTGGCTTGAACCTTACCACTGGCTTTCTTGGAACCCATGGCAAGTTATATAATAACATATTTTATGTTCAAATAGCCAAAAATCCCCCCCCCCCCCCAAAAAAAGTAAATCTTTGCAAAGAATTCAGGCGCGATAGTCACTAGGCGGGAGGCACTGGTAAACTGAGGCACGATCGCCGTGCCACCACGCGCTAGTTCGGCCCATACGTGTATCAACAAACTCATTTCTCGAGGCAAAGTTCATAACTAGATTCAAATTTTCCGAAAAAATTGAGCTCGTAACCCGAAAAGTTCTTTAAAAGAGGGGCATTCGTAAGCCGAGGTGTCACTGTATATCTCATTTTGTTCGTTATGGTCCGCTACTAAAAAATTACAAAGTTCAGTAAGTATTCTGAACAGCAACGGCTCACAAATATCTGTGTTTCCTGTGCATGGTTAAGTTAGGTTAGGTGGGTTGCTTGAGTTCATATATTTCCAGGCTAGGTTAGCACTTTCTGTTTTGTACATTGTGACAGATCAAGAGAACGAGCCTGTAGCTATGCTAATCTACTAAGTGCCTGAACCAGAATCTGGCTCTTTGTGAGGCGAGGGGGAACTTGGGAATCTGAGATTTACCCAAAATGAAGGTAAATCCACTATAAAGGTTAGGCAAAACAAATCAATTTATTGCTTGAAGAAATAAATAAAACAAGGCAAAAAACAATTCTAAAGTGTATTTTAAGTTGATTATCATTACTGAAGCCCTTCTAGCTAGGTTTTGGCATCAATCTTTCTAGTCCTCCATTTTTTCACCTAAATAAGGTTAGGTTCCTGCTGGAGGAAGACGTGAAGGTGGAGGATGGGAAGCTGGGCACATAGCTGACATGTACTCACCTAGTTGTGCTTGAGGAGGTTGAGCTTTGGCTCTTTGGTCCCGCCTCTTAACTGTCAATTAACTGGTGTACAGATTCCTGAGCCTACTGGGCTCTATCAAATCTACATTTGAAACTGTGTATGGAGTCTGCCTCCACCACATCACTGCCTAATGCATTCCATTTGTTAACTACTCTGAAGCCAATGTCTGGAGCCAATACTTCTGAAGTTGAAGTGTGTGAAGATGAATCTGGAGCCTCACTCTTCCTGAAGTCGTGAAGCACAGGTCAAGGTGACAGTGAAGCATGGTCCTCCTCAAAATAAAGAGGAACGTTATCCGATTCCATGACTGGCAGGGCTGAAACTTCAGCAACCACTTCATATGTGGGGATTGATCACCATAGACACCCAAACACAACATACTGTATATTCAAGGGTGAAACTGACCCTGTGCACAGTTAAAATACAAAAGATAAAATAAATTATCACCAGTCATTGAACCCCAAATGACATCCTGGAATGTTGCACCATTTACAGTTTTATCAACCATCATAGTGCAGAACCTGGCATTGTCATTAATTTATCTTATCTGTTACAGATTCCACTATTTAAATACACAAGACCACAAAAATTATATCTCCCCATAATTAATTTTTGCATCAGCACTTCCTATAGCATACTTTGTTTTTTACAGGAGCCATTACATACAACCCGATGGCAGGCTACGGATATGGGCACTCGGATCCTAATCAAGCTCTGCCAACGGCCCAGGAGGTAGTTCAAGGTGGCGAACAAGACACGCACCATCAGACGTCTCGAGAAGAGTATCATAAGGTCCCCCCAACCTGGGAATTTGAAATTCAGACAGGAGCATATGGGTAGGTTTACAGGACACAATTTTTGCTAGGAGCATATAGGTATTGGGTAGGTATACAGAACATGATCTTTTTAGGAGCATATGGGTAGGTTTATATGACATGTTCTTTGTTAGGTGCTTATAGTTTAGGTATACAGAATATGATCTACATTAGCATCATTAGAAAGTGATTACAAGAAGAAAGAGCTGAGATGCTTTCTTTATGAAATCTATGCATTCACAATTTTATTAAGGGTGAAACGTGGATTACTCAATTCAGTTTCATAACACCCAAAAGGTGTATAATACAGTACAGTAGAACCTTATATAATACAATAGTTCATGTTTTTGGAAAAATTAATTGTTGTAAAAAAAAAATATGATTCATGTACAGTAAATAGAAAAATGGGAAAATATGGTTGCATTTCCAGGTATGGCTGTCATACATTTCAAACATATTTTGATTTAAAACAGTGTGAGGGTGTAATATTGTAAACATATAAACAGTGTAATATTCTAAATCTGATGCTGGCACCAAAATTTTGGGCAATCTATTATGGTTTTAGCCACTGCACTAGTGTGTCTATCGCAGCATCCCATATTACAGCTGAATTTGTTCTATAACAGTGGTAATACACGCTGTGTCTCACAAGCAATTATACCAGGATTTGAGTACTGGCCAGGGAAGATTGACTGGGTGCCAATCCTTAAATGTTCACCTTTGTTCACCAATGGGTCCTTGTTATAAATCAACTGACTTAACTGACAAGTCGTATTCCAGGGAAACACGTAGGGTAAGGCTTACCGTGAGCTATGGGAAGGGAAAGCTCCTCAGCCAGCTAACAGGAGTCAGAAGTTGTCTGCTCCTGTACCCATCTGTGTGTAAAACTAGTAGGGTAAGGCTTACCATGAGCTATGGGAAGGGAAAGCTCTCAGCCTGCTAACAGGAGTCAGCAGTCGTCTGCTCCTGTACCCACCTGTGTGTAAAACTAGTAGGGTAAGGCTTACCATTAGCTATGGGAAGGGAAAGCTCTCAGCCTGCTAACAGGAGTTAGAAGTTGTCTGCTCACACCTGTACCTACCCGTGTGTAAAACTAGTAGGGTAAGTCAGAAGTCATCTACTCCTGTACTCACCTAAGCATGGAGAGGGGTGTGGGGATGACTAGGATATAGAAGTTGGGTTTCATTCATAGCCATCTTATGAGATAAGAAAATAATGAAATAAGTTTAACAAGACGAGAATAGATTAGGCATATAGAGGCATATAGAAAATAGATTAGGCATATAGAGTAGCAAGAAAAGCTTCTCAAAGTTTACAAGAGTTGTAAAGAGTTTACAAGAGTTGAATTAAAATTGTGTGAGACCATAAAAGTTTACAGCAGAATCATCTTCAAATAATCACCCTCAGAAAAGCATGATTCTTGAAGGTTTTTAAGAGATATTGTAATACAGTTTGCTTAACTTATCATTTAAAGTACGTGACACTTGAGGCCGATGCAGGTTCCTCCCAGAGCTGACTGTAGACATTTGCAGGTATGGGAAGTCAGAAGAACACAGATGGCACCAAGAAGCTGGATATCATCAGTATAATGATCTTGTCTCCAATGGCTATCCTCAGCACCTAAAGGATAAGGAGGTAAATTAGATTTTGAATTTGTTGTTAACTACATTTACTATATACGGTCCTGAGACCTATTACTCACAAGCCAATATTTCCCATCCATCATAATCATGGTATGGATAATGCCAGATATTTTGACCTGGTAAGATAATGTTACTGAGATATTTGAACAATCTCTCACGTTCTTTATCCCAAAAGGCTAATTTTGGTGGTGAACTGCCAGAGTGCACCGAAACATGCCAGTAGAGTACTGACCTAGGTATTCCTGGAGTGTGTTCTGGGTATACTGTACCAAGAACATATAGAACTTCCAAGTATACTCGTGTAGTTATTTATGTGAGGGGTGAGCTGTTATTGAGCTCTGCCTCGCATCACTGGTATACACATTCCAGAGCCTATTGGGCTCTTTTATATACCTGTATCTACATTAAAGCTGTGAATTGTTTGCTGTAGTGTGGTGGTGTTTCCTCTACTATGCTTAGAGCAATATAGAGCTAATACAAAGATTAAGTTATTTTGCTGCTAGTATTTGTAAGCTATACCACCTGGTTAGTCTCATAGGCAGTGTCCTGCTCTCCCCATTGGCAGGACCATGTGACAGCCTGGCTTGGCTAACTCTTATGCCTTGCCAAGTAATATTCTAAATATTCCCAGTAATATTCTAAATATTCCCAGTAATATTCTAAATATTCCCAGTAATATTCTAAATATTCCCAGTAATATTCTAAATATTCCAAGTAATATTCAAATATTCTAAATAATATTCTTAATATTAATATTCCAAGTACTATTCTAAATATTCAAAGTAATGTTCTAAATATTCCAAGTACCAGTAATGTTCTAAATATTCCAAGTACCAGTAGGGTTCTAAATATTCCAAGTACCAGTAATATTCTAAATATTCCAAGTACCAGTAATATTCTAAATATTCCAAGTACCAGTAATATTCTAAATATTCCAAGTACCAGTAATATTCTAAATATTCCAAGTACCAGTAATGTTCTAAATATTCCTAGTACCAGTAATATTCTAAATATTCCAAGTACCAGTAGTATTCTAAATATTACAAGTAATGTTCCAAATATTCCAAGTACCAGTACTATTCTAAATATTCCAAGTACTAGTACTATTCTAAATATTCCAAGTAATAATCAACATTTATGTAGACTACGCACATTAACAAAGAAATAGTAAGGACTGATACCCAACTCTCGGATGCAAAAAAAGTGTAAATTAATGCTGTTTCAGTTCATCCTCTACTTTCGTCAAATCGTGTCACATTCCTCTCTTTTCATGCGTGTGCTCTGGGTATGAATTTTCAGCCACGTTATCATGACTTATTCTATGCAGAGTAAGGATTGTGTCGGGTTATAATTGATTTTATTTATTTATTTGCAGATTGAAGAGGTCAAAATTCCATTTCCCATCAATATTGACCACTTGCGTCGGCGAACTGGAAATCAAGAGCCTGCTCACCTACCAGACATGAGTCAGCCACCTCCATCAACATCAGGAGGACTCCTGCCAATATCTTCCACTACACCTACATCACTGGCATCCAGTTTAGCACCTCATAAATTTAACAGGTATAAGTCATGAACATTGTATACCATATTTGCCGACAGAACACATGATTTTGGTCCACCACCAACCCAATGTATATTGTATTTTCATGTACAAAATCATATATTTTCCCTACAAAACCACTTGAAAATTACTTTTATTAAATGTATGATGAATATAAGGAAATTGTATTTATTCACAAAATATCCTTGTGAATTAGGTGTTTTTGGCTAGTTGTGTTCCCAACCTTGTGTAGTGTAGGATCTCCTATCTTCCTTAAGGGTCTTTGTGCAGTGTAGGGCCTCCTGTCCTTGAGTGTCTTTGTGTAGTGAAGGGCCTCCTGTCCTTGGGTGTCTTTGGGCAGTGTAGGGCCTCCTGTCCTTGAGTGTCTTTGGGCAGTGTAGGGCCTCCTGTCCTTGAGTGTCTTTGGGCAGTGTAGGGCCTCCTGTCCTTGAGTGTCTTTGGGCAGTGTAGGGCCTCCTGTCCTTGGGTGTCTTTGGGCAGTGTAGGGCCTCCTGTCCTTGAGTGTCTTTGGGCAGTGTAGGGCCTCCTGTCCTTGAGTGTCTTTGGGCAGTGCAGGGCCTCCTGTCCTTGGGTGTCTTTGGGCAGTGTAGGGCCTCCTGTCCTTGAGTGTCTTTGGGCAGTGTAGGGCCTCCTGTCCTTGGGTGTCTTTGGGCAGTGTAGGGCCTCCTGTCCTTGGGTGTCTTTGGGCAGTGTAGGGCCTCCTGTCCTTGAGTGTCTTTGGGCAGTGTAGGGCCTCCTGTCCTTGGGTGTCTTTGGGCAGTGTAGGGCCTCCTGTCCTTGAGTGTCTTTGGGCAGTGTAGGGCCTCCTGTCCTTGGGTGTCTTTGGGCAGTGTAGAGCCTCCTGTCCTTGGGTGTCTTTGTGTAGTGAAGGGCCTCCTGTCCTTGGGTGTCTTTGGGCAGTGTAGGGCCTCCTGTCCTTGGGTGTCTTTGGGCAGTGTAGGGCCTCCTGTCCTTGGGTGTCTTTGGGCAGTGTAGGGCCTCCTGTCCTTGGGTGTCTTTGGGCAGTGTAGGGCCTCCTGTCCTTGGGTGTCTTTGGGCAGTGTAGGGCCTCCTGTCCTTGGGTGTCTTTGGGCAGTGTAGAGCCTCCTGTCCTTGGGTGTCTTTGTGTAGTGTAGGGCCTCCTGTCCTTAGGTGTTTCTGAGGGGAGCCCCGTCGGCTTCCCGGAGCTATCTAGCCTGAATAGATATGTATAACTTTCTGGCATTAGTCAAAGTGCTTGGAGTTCTTGCCTACCGGGGACCACGAGCCAGAACCTTGCCCCCTCAGAGAGGCACGAGGAGCAATGGCCTATAGAAACCCCCCCTGTGGTTGGGAGCATTCTATGTCTGCCAGCAACCGGGATAGGCACCCAGAAATGTAGGCGCCCCAAAACAGACCCCCCTATTCTGATAAAAATATTGCTACTGAAAGCCGAACGAGTGGACAGAACTCCCCAAACAAAATTATCAAACTATCATGACATCATCACATCGCCGCGCTGCCGTCTGTGCACCCCCCTCCCCCCCCTCCCCGGGAGAGGGTAGGGGGTGCCCCAGACCCTTCGCATCAGCGATCCAACTGGCAGTTCTTGGCTGGTGTGATTACTGGCCGGTCGGTTGCCTCTGGCTCCGGTTTTGTTTCACTCTGTGCCTTGTAATGTGGGCTGTCTCTACAGGTGGTTTGTGAGCCAAGAGAGAGATTCCACGGTACTCGGGCTGCTTGCGCCTGGGGCTCTCTTCCCTAGGTGCCCTGTAAGTACTGCCCTTGGGGCTTGGGGCTACCTTCCACAAGTCACCTTGGGATCTACCTCCGCTGTGTCCTTTACTGCTCGGTACTTGGCCCGCCCTTGGAGTCAGCTGGGGTTTTGTTGCCCTTGTTTGTCTCTGGGTAGGAGATTTTACTAAGAAAACTAGGTACTAGTTTTCACCAATAGCAGCGGCCGGCTCTGTTCTGCCTGGGTACGTTGTTCTCTTGCAGGGTTTTTCTTTTGTTTTTGTTTTTGCCTGGTGGGGGGTCTGCCTTTGTGATCCCCCTGTGTTGTTCTCGGGGCATTTATATATATATATTCTGTTTGGTGATACTGCCCTGCTTGGCCCCCATGAGTGGACACATCCCAGGGGTTCAGCTTTTAGAAGCTTGTTTGGTAGACTTTGGCACCAGTTTGCAGTACCCTGCCTGGGCTTCCCTTAGCTTGTAACCATGGCTAAGGGCCCTGAGTCCCCCCTCGCGTCTTGCGATTTGGAAGGTTCCCTTGTCTCCCCTTGTCTCAGGGTGACACTCACCGGTTGTGCCTCCGCTATGCTGCCTGTTGGGTCGGTTTTTCTTTTGATCCGGATTCGTGAGACGGGTGTTGTCTGTACGTGCTCCCGTTCACCCAAGCCACTGATCGTGATATGCGGGTGCAGGCAGCTGCGGAGTTGCATGCTAGGTTTAGGTTGCTGCAACGCTCTAGGTTGGTTGCGGCCCCGGATGTCCCGAGACTGCCCTGTTTTGGTTATAGGGGGGTCCGGACTTGGGGGTGGGAGTCGCTTCAGCTCTGGTTCCGTCCACTCCTCCTCGTCCTTTCCCTTCTGTTGTGCATACTTCCTTCCCCTTGCTTCTGGCTCCGAACCATAGGCGGTTTCTGGGGGGAGCCCCGTCGGCTCCCCGGAGCTTTACCGGCTGATATGCTAATGTCAGACTTTGGCATCAATCATGTGTATGGAGTTCTAGGGCCTACCGGGGACCACGGCCAGAACCTGGCCCCCTCAGAGAGGCAAGGGGAGCAATGGCCTATAAAAACCCCCGTGTGGTTGGAAGCATTCTATGTCTGCCATCGACCGGGTCAAGCATCCAGAAAGGTAAGCATTCCAAAACAAACCCCTATTCTGGTGAAAATTGCTACCTAAAGCCGAACTAGTGGATAGAACTCTTCAACAGAAAACTAGGAAACTAGTATGACGTCATACGTCACCGCGCCGCTGTCTGCGCAGCTCCCCCCTCCCGGGGAGGGGGAAGGGGGAGCCCCAGACCTCCCACGCCGGCTATCCACCCATCAGTTCTTCGGCTGATGCTATGGGCAACGGTTATGTGCTCCGGCTCCAGTGGTTGTTTCAGCACTGTACCTAGAGTGTGGTGTCTGTTTTCTAGGTGGTGCGTGAGCCGGGGTGATTCTCCAGTACTCGGGCTGCATGCGCCTAGGGTTCCTTTCCCTAGGTGCCCTGTAAGTACTGCCCTTGGGGCTTGGGGCCACCTTCCACAAGTTCTTTGGGTCCTGCCCCTGCTTGGCCGTTTACTGCTTGGTTTTCGGCCGCTCTATGTGTGCTCGGGTGTTTTGTCTCCCTTGTTCGCCTTAGAGTAAGGGGCAGTTTTTGCACTGGTGGGGCGCAGGGTACTGTGCAGCTTGTCTTTACCAATCATAGCGGCAGGCTCTGTTCCGCTTGGGTACGCTGTCCTCTTGCGGGGTTTTCTTTTTCTTTTTGTTTATCTACTTGGTGGGGGGGTCTGCCTTCGTTCTTGCCCCTTGTGTCCCTTGTGTTCTGAGTATTTTCTGGTGGTACCCCCCTGCTAGGTCCCCGTGAGTGTACACGTCCCGGGGGTTCAGCTCTTAGGAAGTTGTTTGGTAGCTTTGGGTGCCGGTTAGCAGTACCCTGCCTGGGATTACCTGAGCGCGAGTCCTCTTATAGTAAACGCTCGGGACCCTGGGAAACCCCTGGGGGCGCGCGGGTCCGATGGATGTGACCCCAGAGTTTCCCCCTCGCTTCCAGCGAGTTTGAGGGTTGCTCTCACCCTTTGTCTATGGGTGACTCTCTGTTTTGCCTCCGTCTGCTGCCTGTGGGGTCGGTGACACCTTCGACCCGGAGTCCTGCGAGTTTGGTTGCTCGTTGTGGCTCGGTTACCCAGTTGTGCTAACAAAGCGGGTGCAGGCAGCAGGGGTGTTGCACTTGAGCCTTGGTGGTGGCAACGTTCTCGTGGTTTCCTCCCCGGGAGCCCTGGGGCTGCCCCGTTGTAGTTCGTTTTGGGACTTGGGGGTGTTGGTTGCTTCGGTTCCATCCACGCCCCCTTGTCTTTCCCCTGGATCACCCTTCCTGCCTGCATCCGGTTCCTTACCGTCTGTAGGTTCGGGGCGGGGTTTTTGATGGTGTTGAGACTCGGGCAGTCTTGGGGAATTCCCCTTCCGGGGTAGTGACTGGGGCATTTGAGCCTGTTCCTCCAGCCATGTTGTATGAGTCTGCCAGTGGGCTCCTTTCCTTAGTGTTTTCACGGCTGCCCCGGTTTTCTGGTACGGCCGGGGCTTTGGGGGAACGGTTCGGCCCCGGGGCCTGTTGTGTAGGTTCCCGGGGCTGGGGAGGGGCTGACTTGGGGGGCCTTGGCCCCGTTGGACCCCGTGGGGGTTTTTATCCCCCTCTAGGCGGGGCTTGTGATTACGCGGAGTGGGGTCTTTCCTCCCCACTCGCCGTACGTGCTGTTGGGCGTCGGCCCCTCCCCGGGCTCGGTTCCTTGGCCTTTGAGTCGGTTGGTTCCGTCCTGTGGGTGGATGTTTCCTCCCACCCCTTTTTGGGACGGTGTTTTCGTCATGTTTCCCCGTTCGATGGGGTTCTGCGTGACTTCTGATCTCGGGTGCGCCTGCGCCTTCGTGTGCCTTCGGGACTAGTGTTGGCTTCTGTGTTCTCGAGGGTACGGGAAGGTTTTTCGCTACTTCCCGCGTTATTGGAACGTCTGTTGGCTCCTCGTCCTTGTCTCCCTGTTGGGCTACTTGTCGCCCTGTTGGGCTACTTGTCGCCCTGTTGGGCTACTTGTCGCCCTGTTGGGCTACTTGTCGCCCTGTTGGGCTACTTGTCGCCCTGTTGGGCTACTTGTCGCCCTGTTGGGCTACTTGTCGCCCTGTTGGGCTACTTGTCGCCCGGTTGGGCTACTTGTCGCCCGGTTGGGCTACTTGTCGCCCGGTTGGGCTACTTGTCGCCCGGTTGGGCTACTTGTCGCCCGGTTGGGCTCCTTTTTGGGCTCTTTGCTTCTTTGGCCGGTTTTATTGTTCCTGCTT